TTTTTTTTTTTAGAAATAGAGATTTATCTACATCATACTGGCAATATTTATAATTGCTTGATTTTATGCATTTAAGACTAGCTATAAAATGTTAATACAAAATGTTCACATAAAATGTTATTATTTATCTAGTGACTGTCCTGTTTTATTATGTGCTTAACTGATGCTGTTGAATTACTCATATTTATTACAACATTAATGGTATCATTTTATTGTGAATACTATTGGTATTTAGTTTCAGGAAAGCTAACTCTGATACCATGCTGACATCAGTGATAAAAAGGAGATAGCATTTTAAAAGACTGGTGCTTATTTAAATGCTTGTAGGAAGAGCCAAGAAGTTGAAGATGAAAAATGCTAGACCTTGAAATTGATCTTTCTCAAACAACCCCAAGATCCAAGTGGGGAGGGGGAGAGCAGAAACATATGTAATTAGCAATTTTAGCATTTGAATTATTGTGGAAAGGAGCAGAGGAAGGGAAGGAATAAGGTTGGATGAAGGAGAAGCTGGTGTTGGACCACAGCTGTTCTGTCTATCCTCTGCCTGGGGGCATAGGGTCTTTGTGTTGCATTTTAAAGTTGTCTTCTCTGTAGCAGATACACCAGCATCTTTGGGTGTAGAGGTCCTCTGTGCAGTATTGTGGATGTAAATAGTTTAGTTCCCTCGTGGGAAAATAGTCTTAGGGGAAAGAATAAGGAAACACACAAAGCATAATCAGTTCAGTGTAAACCATATTCTCATGAGTGGAAAGAGCCTCATATTCTGGTAAAGACTTCATCAAGTATTCCAGACTGGTGAGCTGAAGCTGTAGAAAATGCCAAAAAAAAAAGAAAATGCCAAAAGCAGGAAAGGCCTAACTTTTTGAAAGAAAACTTTGAATCTGGAGTACAAGTGTGTTCTAGGTAAAAAAAAAAAAAAAAAAAGTGAATCAGTGAAAGAATCTCTTACCTCCAGGGTTACCAAGGTGAGTGTTAAGTCAGTTTATAGAGGAAGCCCCAGGCTACTAATTTATTTTTTTTTTTAAAGATTTTATTTATTTATTTGAGAGAGAGAATGAGATAGAGAGAGAGAGCATGAGACGGGGGAGGGTCAGAGGGATAAGCAGACTCCCCTCTGAGCAGGGAGCCGGATGCGGGACTCGATCCTGGGACTCCAGGAGCATGACCTGAGCCGAAGGCAGTCACTTAACCAACTGAGCCACCCAGGCGCCCCCCAGGCTACTAATTTAAAAAGAAGGTGAGCCTACATGTTTTTTTTTCTGCCAAGAGCTCCTGGGCCAGTGGTCTTCTAAATCAAGTGTGTGAGGATATTGTATATCCATAGAGAAGTAGAGTCTTCTGTCCCACACCAGAAGATTCTGATCTAATATGCCTCAACATGGACACTACCACAAACCCACTTTGGGGAGGCAACCAGGGTATCATGCCCTTAAGTATTTAGCCTAGAAAAGGGAAAGGATGCAGTTAAAATGTTTAAAATATTATAAGGGAAATTAATAAGGTATATGCAAGCTATTTACCCCATTCCATAGAATAGAATAAGACTCCTAATTTTGAGCAATTATTATTAATAATGGATACATATGTTTTTATATGTGCATACATATACATATGTATATACAACATACATACATGTGCACACACACACACATATATGTAATCTTATTTAACCCTTATGCTAAACTGAGGTGTTAGTATTACTCTCATTTTTTTAGATGGCAGTGGTCAAACTGAAATAATTTGCCCAGGATGTGGTACACATCCAAATTCTAACTCAGGAATGTGTGGTTAAAAATCCTGTGCTCAACAACATCCCTCAGCCAGGGTTCTTACCAATATGGCGGAGGGCAGATATTATAGGACTTCTTATCCACAGACAGTGTGCTGGCTGGAAAAGGAACAGACTTATAAAATGTTTAAATGACTTGATGAATAACAGATGCTCAAAGAAGCGAGGGTCATGAGGGTAGTAACAGGGGGAGTATGCATCCTGGGGATGCTGCTGGAGCCAGGTCACCACCTGGAAAGATAATAGGTCTACTTCAAAATGAGAAGTGGGTCTCTGTAATGCACATTAAATTTGGTAACTTGTGGATATTTTCCTTCCCACCATGTTTTCCTTTGCATCTAGCCCTAAGATTAATACCTGTAAGTTTATAAGTAACATTTCATCAACCATTTTAACCTACTGTAAACCTCTTACTCTTAGGGGCACGTGG